TGTGATAATGGTTGTGACAATGGTTCAGACGTAGATATCAGTTTCTAAAGTGTATGGGTAGCCAATGCCAGTTTATGGACCTTTTTATCTGTTATGCTTGTTTAGATGGTGTAAAATTCTTATTAACACTTTTGTTCATTGTTTCTGTGATGACTGTTAGGCCTTTTTTCTGATATGATATTTGATATTTTGGAACTTACAGGTCGCAGAGGGACAGGTAAAGAGATTGTGCGTGGAGGCGCAGAACTGTATGATTCAGAACAGGTGGTTGGATTTGGCTTCTTTGATGATTACTTCTGCGGATGTAATTTTCTCTAAAGCCTCTGAGAAAGGTGAAAATTTTCTTTCTAAATTTTGGAAACGTTTTGATTCATGTTACATGTGGATAAGTTCCAGTGTCATAAATTGTGTGTTCATTTGGATTGCAGCAGATGAATCACTTGCAGAACTTCATGTCATTCTATACACAAGATTGATGTTAAACTTTTGTCTTTTAACCATTTTTACTCTGTTTTGAGTTACCGGAAATTACAATTAACTGTTGTAAGTAGGACTTTCACCTCTTTGATTTTGCTCTCTTCATGTCAAGTATCTTTGAATGAGTTCAGCCATTCAATTTCATATTCATGTTTAATCCCTTCTGTTGCATAGTACTTGATTCTCCATCAAATGTTGTTGGTTTGGTTTTGTAACTGGTCTTTCGTTAATTATTTCTTACCTCAGATCTTGAATGTGTTTACACTGTGATCTGCAACCTTGTTAGCAAGTCTGAGAGCCTCGATCAAGTGCATGAGATGACAGAGCTTATATCCACAAAGGTCACTCAACAGCCTAATGACAAACCTGCACTGCGCTTAAAGATGTAAGAAACCTATACACTAGGCTTTTGAACTTCCCAATGCTCGAGTCTGGAGTTTACATTACGTGTCTAACATTTTTTTTTTTTCATTAGCTTGTTTAACCTCTACAACCTATTGGACAACCCATACAGCCAGTTTTTTGTGTATATGAAGGCCCTCAACTTGGCCACTTATGGAAAGGTCACTGAGCACGTCATACCATCTTTTAGAAAGATAGATAACTTTATGAGGGAGTGGAATCTTGGTGTTAAGGATCGGAGGGATCTATTTCTTGCAGTTTCCAATATTTTGAAGGATAGCAAGAGGTAGGATCTGTGCATGATTTTTGTCCTCTTTGATTGTGTGTGTGTACAATTTACACAGAATTTGTAGAATGTGTGTACACATGGGTGATAGAAAATGAACTTCTTGAGCTGTTCTTTTATCTGGAGTCTCAGCTCAGCAAAGGACTCCTTCGACTTTCTTGTCAAGTATCTGGAGACTTTTTCGGGTGATGATGTGTTGTCTGTGGCTGAAGCTAAAGAAGAAGCCGTCCGAGCTGTTATTGAGTTTGTGAAGTCACCTGACATGTTTCAAGTAATTCAGTAATGCCGTATTTTTTTTTTTAGTTGCTTTTATATGGACTTCTTTTGTAGCTTGCTTTCATAAAAATATTGTAGGTGGGTTGCTTTGAAAACTTTAAGGTCATAATACTAGAGATTTATCATTTTTGTGTACCAGTGTGACTTACTAGATATGCCAGCTGTAGTGCAATTGGAGAAAGATGCAGAATATGCTCCCATTTATCAACTTCTGAAAATCTTTCTTACTAAGAGGCTCGACGCCTATTTGGATTTCTATTCATCAAATTCTAGCATATTGGGCCGTTATGGTATGACTTATTTTTTGTCTCATTCTTCTGTGAACTATTGGTTTTGATCATTATGTAAGGGCAATTGAAAATGGATTCTGTATATTTTTTCCCATGGGACAATGCGCAGGTCTTGTGCATGAAGACTTGATTTCTAAAATGAGATTAATATCCCTCGTTGATCTTGGAAAAAATGAATCAGGTCAAATTCCTTACTCTTTGATTAAGGAAACTATCCAGGTATTTTATTTATATTTATGGCAACTAATGAGTCATTCAGCCTTACATATGTGACCTCATAACATTTGGGTTTTCTCAGATTGAAGATGATGAAGTGGAGCCATGGATCGTCAAGGCAATTTCGGCTAAGTTAATAGACTGCAGAATTGATCAAATCAACCATGTTGTCGTTGTGAGGTATGTCACAGTATGTCTCAGATATCTAATTCGAGCAGTGCAGTGACAGATTTATGATTGAAGAACATACCTTTTTCTGCAGCCGCTACGCAGAGCGTGCATTCGGTCTTAATGAATGGAAATTCCTTCGATCAAAGCTTGTGGCATGGAGGGTATTTATCCCGAAACCATTTTCTATTTTATTATTATTTGCAGCTTATCAACAGATTAGGTATCTAGGGTGGGGTATAATTGGTTTCTCAACTCCATGTAGGGGTGATTACAATAGATAATCTTGAAGTTATTAGTAAACATGCCTTGCTCTCCTTCAAAAGTACCATTACTCTTTTGATACTTGTTTCTGTTTGACAGAGAAAGGATATATATTTTGAGGTGGTCTGTAATTTTGAAAGCTAATTGGGTTTCTTTGATAATTAGGTCCACAACTTTTACAACTTGTAGTTTGCTGCAAACACTGACCTTTGTATCCTGATTTCCTTTTTTTTTTTTTTTTTTTT